ACTATTTGATAAGAAGTTAAGGTGGCACAAATGGTTTTGAGTAATGTATACACTCAGACAGTGCTCTGAGTAATTGGGAATGTGAAAGGAAAACACTCAGCATAGGGCAGACCATTAGATCAAGAAGTTACAGTGTATTTTATTGGTTTAATTTATTGCTACTACATGTCTATATAATTTCATCCAAATATTACAACTAAAATATTAAAATGTAAGATGTAAGAAAGCTTTTCTTTTTTTTTTCTTGTAAGCTTTTCAATGCTATGTTTTAGACATCTGGCCGTGAAACTGAACTATTACCCATTCAGGTGATTTTACTGCTGCACTCCACAATATCTTTGTTCCTAAGTCTTCTCTATGCAAGCAATTTAAGTTTTCAGAGGCATATGAAATCAGTATGACTTCTGTATACAAGAAAGAACCTCTCTAGCCTATAAATCTGTAAATCCACCGGGGCTGGAGTACATTGTTGCTCATGGCTGAGGAGAGAGCACTTCCCACTGTTCTCCCTCCTCCTTTGCACCTTGCCTTGCTCTGCTCTTCTTCCTCAGCAAAGGAGCTCAACACCCTCCGTGCCTCAATTATGCTGATTTATTTTCACAGAACCCCAGAGTCCCTGAGGCTGGAAAAGCCCTCCCAGCCCATGGAGTCCCAGCTGGGCCCCATGCCCACCTTGTCCCCAGCCCAGAGCACTCAGTGCCACCTCCAGGCCTTCCCTGGCAGGGATGGGCACTCCGAACTTCCCTGGCAGCCCCTGCCAGGGCCTGAGCACCCTTTCCATGGGGAAATTGCTGCTGCTGTCCCAGCTGAGCCTCTGCTGGCCCAGCCTGAGGCCATTTCCCCTTGTCCTGTCCCTGTTCCCTTGGAGCAGAGCCCGACCCCCCGGCTGTCCCCTCCTGGCAGGGGGTACAGAAGGATTGCTCCTTTCCTAGGCCCTCTTCTCCTCTTCTCTGCTTTCCAGAACTAAAAAGGAATTACTGAAGGATGACAAATCCCTCACGAATATTTGGGACTGGAGGTTCGCCCATTTCTTGTGTCCAAGTGTCTCCCTCCTCCCTCACCCAAAATCCAACAGCACAGAGTCCCTAGGCCAGCATTCTCTCTGTGGGAGCAGCAGGGGGGAAGTTTGATGACTTTTGACCCACAGGGACATCTAATTATACCAGTTTAGTATTTACAATGTCTTTTCAAACCAGTGTACGACAGAATAGTGCAATCAAAAGTGGTTTTCTACCCCAATGAGACTGAAACATTTATTTCTCCCAAACAGACTAAAGCCTGTGGGTTTAGTGTCACATCTCGCACAGCTCGGCCCTGGAGCGCTGCTGCCGCGGCCGAGCGCAGCCCCTGGGGCCGCTGTGCAGGTGCATTTGAAGGGCTCGGACACAATGGCAGCGCCGCGTGTCTTTGTGCTCCAGGTCTGCGCTGCCCGTGCGGGCGGAGCGGGGCTGGCGGGAGCCGCGCTCCCCTCAGAGCCCCTGAGGGCGGCAGCGATGGCGGCGCCGCTCCCTCAGCGCCCGGCCCCGGCCCCGGCGGGCGGGGAGCCCTCGGCAGCGCCCGGCCGGCAGCGGGGAGCGAGCCCCGGCCCGGCCGCTGTGCCCGTGGCGCCGCAGAGGCGAGGGGAGAGCCGCAGGAGCCGCTGCCTCGGGCACTGCCCCGGGCCGGGGGCAGCAGCCGGGCCCGGCCCTGCGGCAGCGCAGGAGGCTCTGGCGGTGCCGCTTCTCCAGCTCGGCCCGGTGCCCGGGCACGGCCCCGGCCTTGGGGCTGCCCCTGCCCCGCTCAGCTGCCCGTGCCCCGCCCGGGCGCCGAGGCCGCGCTCGGTGCCCCCGGGTGCCGCTGCTGCGGGCAGGGCCGAGCCCCGGTGCCCGGGCACAGCCCTGAGGGACACCCCTGCTCCCCGGGCTGCCGCGGCTCCTGGAGCCGCTGCCCACGAGCCCCCGGCACGGCCGTGCGGCCAATTCCTCGTGCCCTGGGCAGCGCAGCCTGCAAAGCCGGGGCTCGGCACTGCGGGGCTGGGGCTGCCGTGTGCCAGCGGGGCCAAAGCCTCGCAGGGCTCGGGGCCCAGCCGGGCCCGCCAGGACACCGCTCCGGGGATGCTCCCAGCCAGCTCCTGTCTGCTCCGCTGCTGTTGGGGTTCCGGGGTGGCCCTTTGTGATGTGGGACATGATGGTGGCCAGAGACCCTTGTGACATCAGGGAGTTCCACCCGGGCTGAGGGTCTCCAAGGGGCGCGGAGCCCTGGGTTGCCCAGTCCCAGGAGAGCTGCTCTCTGAGGAGGACGCAGCTCCCTGGTTCTGTCTGCGCCAGACGCCAACAGCCACAGACAACAGAGACGAGGACAAAGGCAACTCCAGCTCCCAGTCCATCCGACCTGTGCCCATCTGGCTCTTTGCTGAAATGGACCGCAAGCTTTCCCACGACGATGTCCAGAAGTTTTCCCACGGGGAAGGTGAGAGGTTTGCAGAACTGTCACCATGCGAACAAGAGCTCTTCTCCCACATGTCCCAGTGGAAAAATAGCAGAGAACCAGACTTCTACCGAGTGATAGACAGCAGTGACAACGAGCTGTTGCAAGGACCAGACGCCAGAGCACAAGAGCTGCCCCAGTGGCCAGATATTGAAGACCAAAAGCTGTCCCGACGGCAGGAACATGTGAGCAGTCAGGAGCTGTCCCAATGGAGAAAGGACATAGCCGTGCAAGCGGTGAGTGAGGAGAAGCACCAGCCTTGTCGCCAGCTGGGACCCAGCCCTCCCAGCCCCAAGGGCACAGCGGTGGCAGCAGAGGCAGCACCTGCCCTGCTTAGCCCCTCTCCTGCCCTGCTTAGCCCCTCTCCTGCCCCACAGAGTCCCACGGAGCAGAACATCGACTGGGAGATGCTGGGCGAGGTGCTGCAGGAGGTCCAGGCACTGAAGCTGGAGCTGCTTGCCCTTCAACAGGTGTTGGCTGGGGACGAATCAGTAGACACAGCCAAAAATGAAGAGAGCTCAGTGCTTTCCCCACACAGCATCCCCAGCCCCTTGCCTGCCCAGCTGAGTTCCCAAGCCCCCAGGGAGCAGCAGGAGGAGGGGGCAGCATCAGCATCTGTGCGGGCAGTGCAGGAGAGCGAGGATGGGACCTTGACTGGGGAGGACAAAGACTGGGAAGATGACATTGATTCAGAGCTCTCCCAGTGGGAAAATAAGGAACAGGCAGAGGTGTCCCACAGAGAAATTAACAACTCCCAAGAAGTGTCCCAGGGGCAAGAGTGCCCTGAGCAGGAGCCGTGCAGCCAAGGGCCGGCGCCTGCCCCGCACAGCCCCCCCAGCCCCTGGCCTGCCCGGCTGGGAGCCCAGGCCCTCCGCGGGCAGCCGGCTGCCCCCGGGAAACGTCCCTCCCGCTTCAGGCGGGCGCTGCGGGCGCTGCGGGGGCTGTTCTGCTGTTCCTGCCTCAGGCCACGGACTGCAGAGTAAAACGGACACGGGAAAAAATAAAGAGGACAAAGATGACATGGCAGATGAAGAAGATGAAGACAGAGAAGAAGATGAAGACAAATAGGATGAAGAAGAGAAAAAAGAGGAAGAAGACAAAGATGAAGAGTAAAAAGACAAGACAGAGAACATTTATTTAAGAGTAGATAGAAGAATATAGTAATAGGGATTTAGTAATACTTAGAAGAAGAGTACTAGGAATAGGAATAAGAATTTCAAAATATGTAGAAGAAGAAGAATAGGAATAAGAATTTTAAAATATGTACTAGAAGAAGAAAAAGAAGAATAGGAATATGAATAAGAATATAAAAATACATAGAAGTAGCAAAGAAGAAGAATAGTAAGAAAGAGTAGGAAGTAGAAGAAGAGCCATAAGAAGAATAAGAATAGAAAAATGAAGAGAAAATTGAAGGAATAAGTAAAATTAGCAAATAATTTCTTTTTATTACATATTGTATATTTCTATTTCAGTCTATGAAATAAAAGCATTAGTATACATTATGTTGTAATTACAATATAATATAATGTCCCCACGCTGTTCCCGTTATTGAAGAATCTGTGTGTTTTCTAACAACGTCTTACAGAACCCCAGAATCCCTGGGGCTGGAAAAGCTCTCCCAGCCCATGGAGTCCCAGCTGGGCCCCATGCCCACCTTGTCCCCAGCCCAGAGCACTCAGTGCCACCTCCAAGGCCTTCCCTGGCAGGGATGGGCACTCCAAACCCCCCTGGGCAGCCCCTGCCAAGGCCTGAGCACCCTTTCCATGGGGAAATTCCTGCTGCTGTCCAAGCTGAGCCTCTGCTGGCCCAGCCTGAGGCCATTTCCCCTTGTCCTGTCCCTGTTCCCCTGGAGCAGAGCTCGACCCCCCGGCTGTCCCCTCCTGGCAGGGGGTACAGAAGGATTGCTCCTTTCCTAGGCCCTCTCCTCCTGCTATCTGCTTTCCAGAACTGAAAAGGAATTACTGAAGGATGACAAATCCCTCATGAATATTTGGGACTGGAGGTGCGCCCATTTCTTGTGTCCAAGTGTCTCCCTCCTCCCTCACCCAAAATCCAACAGCACAGAGTCCCTAGGCCAGCATTCTCTGTGCAGGAGCAGCAGGAGGGAAGTTTGATGACTTTTGACCCACAGGGACATCTAATTATACCAGTTTAGTATTTATGATATATTTTCAAACCAGTGTACGACAGAACAGTGCAATCAAAAGTGGTTTTCTATCCCAATGAGACTGAAACATTCATTTATTTCTCCCAAACAGACTAAAGCCTGTGGGTTTAGTGTCACATCTCGCACAGCTCGGCCCTGGAGCGCTGCTGCCGCGGCCGAGCGCAGCCCCTGGGGCCGCTGTGCGGGTGCATTTGAAGGGCTCGGACACAATGGCAGCGCCGTGTGTCTTTGTGCTCCAGGTCTGCGCTGCCCGTGCGGGCGGAGCGGGGCTGGCGGGAGCCGCGCTCCCCTCAGAGCCCCTGAGGGCGGCAGCGATGGCGGCGCCGCTCCCTCAGCGCCCGGCCCCGGCCCCGGCCCCGGCGGGCGGGGAGCCCTCGGCAGCGCCCGGCCGGCAGCGGGGAGCGAGCCCCGGCCCGGCCGCTGTGCCCGTGGCGCCGCAGAGGCGAGGGGAGAGCCGCAGGAGCCGCTGCCTCGGGCACTGCCCCGGGCCGGGGGCAGCAGCCGGGCCCGGCCCTGCGGCAGCGCAGGAGGCTCTGGCGGTGCCGCTTCTCCAGCTCGGCCCGGTGCCCGGGCACGGCCCCGGCCTTGGGGCTGCCCCTGCCCCGCTCAGCTGCCCGTGCCCTGCCCGGGCGCCGAGGCCGCGCTCGGTGCCCCCGGGTGCCGCTGCTGCGGGCAGGGCCGAGCCCCGGTGCCCGGGCACAGCCCTGAGGGACACCCCTGCTCCCCGGGCTGCCGCGGCTCCTGGAGCCGCTGCCCACGAGCCCCCGGCACGGCCGTGCGGCCAATTCCTCGTGCCCTGGGCAGCGCAGCCTGCAAAGCCGGGGCTCGGCACTGCGGGGCTGGGGCTGCCGTGTGCCAGCGGGGCCAAAGCCTCGCAGGGCTCGGGGCACAGCCGGGCCCGCCAGGACACCGCTCCGGGGATGCTCCCAGCCAGCTCCTGTCTGCTCCGCTGCTGTTGGGGTGCCGGGCTGGCCCTATGTGATGTGGGACATGATGGTGGCCAGAGACCCTTGTGACATCAGGGAGTTCCACCCGGGCTGAGGGTCTCCAAGGGGCGCGGAGCCCTGGGTTGCCCAGTCCCAGGAGAGCTGCTCTCTGAGGAGGACGCAGCTCCCTGGTTCTGTCTGCGCCAGACGCCAACAGCCACAGACAACAGAGACGAGGACAAAGGCAACTCCAGCTCCCAGTCCATCCGACCTGTGCCCATCTGGCTCTTTGCTGAAATGGACCGCAAGCTTTCCCACGACGATGTCCAGAAGTTTTCCCACGGGGAAGGTGAGAGGTTTGCAGAACTGTCACCATGCGAACAAGAGCTCTTCTCCCACATGTCCCAGTGGAAAAATAGCAGAGAACCAGACTTCTACCGAGTGATAGACAGCAGTGACAACGAGCTGTTGCAAGGACCAGACGCCAGAGCACAAGAGCTGCCCCAGTGGCCAGATATTGAAGACCAAAAGCTGTCCCGACGGCAGGAACATGTGAGCAGTCAGGAGCTGTCCCAATGGAGAAAGGACATAGCCGTGCAAGCGGTGAGTGAGGAGAAGCACCAGCCTTGTCGCCAGCTGGGACCCAGCCCTCCCAGCCCCAAGGGCACAGCGGTGGCAGCAGAGGCAGCACCTGCCCTGCTTAGCCCCTCTCCTGCCCTGCTTAGCCCCTCTCCTGCCCTGCTTAGCCCCTCTCCTGCCCCACAGAGTCCCACGGAGCAGAACATCGACTGGGAGATGCTGGGCGAGGTGCTGCAGGAGGTCCAGGCACTGAAGCTGGAGCTGCTTGCCCTTCAACAGGTGTTGGCTGGGGACGAATCTGTAGACACAGCCAAAAATGAAGAGAGCTCAGTGCTTTCCCCACACAGCACCCCCAGCCTCTGGCCTGCCCAGCTGAGTTCCCAAGCCCCCAGGGAGCAGCAGGAGGAGGGGGCAGCATCAGCATCTGTGCGGGCAGTGCAGGAGAGCGAGGATGGGACCTTGACTGGGGAGGACAAAGACTGGGAAGATGACATCGATTCAGAGCTTTCCCAGTGGGAAAATAAGGAACAGGCAGAGGTGTCCCACAGAGAAATGAACAACTCCCAAGAAGTGTCCCAGGGGCAAGAGTGCCCTGAGCAGGAGCCGTGCAGCCAAGGGCCGGCGCCTGCCCCGCACAGCCCCCCCAGCCCCTGGCCTGCCCGGCTGGGAGCCCAGGCCCTCCGCGGGCAGCCGGCTGCCCCCGGGAAACGTCCCTCCCGCTTCAGGCGGGCGCTGCGGGCGCTGCGGGGGCTGTTCTGCTGTTCCTGCCTCAGACCACGCACAGAGGAGTAAAACGGACATGGGAAAAAATAAAGAGGACAAAGATGACATGGCAGATGAAGAAGATGAAGACAGAGAAGAAGATGAAGACAAATAGGATGAAGAAGATGAAGAAGAGAAAAAAGAGGAAGAAGACAAAGATGAAGAGTAAAAAGACAAGACAGAGAACATTTATTTAAGAATAGATAGAAGAAGTATAATAATAAGAATTTAGTAATACTTAGAAGAAGAGTACTAGGAATAGGAATAGGAATTTCAAAATATGTAGAAGAAGAAGTATAGGAATAAGAATTTTAAAATATGTAGTAGAAGAAGAAAAATAAGAATAGGAATAGGAATAAGGATATAAAAATACATAGAAGTAGCAAAGAAGAAGAATAGTAAGAAAGAGTAGGAAGAAGAAGAAGAGCCATAAGAAGAATAAGAATAGAAAAATGAAGAGAAAATTGAAGTAATAAGTAAAATTAGCAAATAATTTATTTTTATTACATATTGTATATTTCTATTTCAGTCTATGAAATAAAAACATTAGTATACATTATGTTGTAATTACAATATATTATAATGTCCCCACGCTGTTCCCGTTATTGAAGAATCTGTGTGTTTTCTAACAATGTCTTACAGAACCCCAGAATCCCTGGGGCTGGAAAAGCTCTCCCAGCCCATGGAGTCCCAGCTGGGCCCCATGCCCACCTTGTCCCCAGCCCAGGGCACTCAGTGCCATCTCCAGGGGACACCTGCAGGGATGGGCACTCCAAACCCCCCTGGGCAGCCCCTGCCAAGGCCTGAGCACCCTTTCCATGGGGAAATTCCTGCTGCTGTCCAAGCTGAGCCTGCCCTGGCTTGAAGTCATTCCCTCTCTTCCTGTCCCTGTTCCCTTGGAGCAGACCCCGACCCCCCTGGCTGCCCCCTCCTGTCAGGGAGATTTAGAGAAAAATAACATCACCCCTTAGCCTCCTTAGCTTCCTTCTCTCCACACTAAGCAACCACTTATTTAAGCCTGGTGTTGTTATTTAATAATTCTGGATACTTCCAAGCATGGGAGAGATGGGCCAGTGTTGTTTTATTCAATGTTCTCCGACCAGTGACATGAAATGGTTATATTTTTTCCCAATTTCTTTTATATTATGGTTTAAAGGATATCACCATCTGTAATGAAACCATTTCCTTTCTGTCTTCTCTCTGTTGGATTGCTTTCCCACTGATGCATCTGTGAGCAAGCATCCTGACGACACTTAATTATTAAAAAGTCATTGCTCAAACAGAGCTCTGAAGAAAAGGAATTCTTTCTTACTGCATATTACTGGATATTGGTTCATAATGGGTTTCATTCTTGTGTATTTCTCCCCTAATTCTGGAGCCTGATATATATTTTATAATACCAAATTACAGTTTCTATAATACTATATGGGTATAGGTACATATATTGTGGGAGCTACCAGCTACAGAGAAATTTAGCAGACAGGAAAAGGAAAAGACATTCACATTTACCTCAGTGTAAAAGTTTTGGAAAAGCACACACAGCTTACACTACAGTGTTTTTTAAGTGGACATATTAACCAGGTGAGGGTTAAGTTTACAATGCATTCTAAACACATTATTTCAATTTATTATATTATTTGAAGTGTATTGGAGCAAACATGTACCATGTTGATTTTAGGGGGGTTTGTGTCCTTGCTTTTAAAGTGGGCATGAAACATAACAGAGACAGTTCTGTGGGTGCCAAATTATCAAAACTGCTCATGTGACCATATAAACAGTGGTGTTTTCCACATATTCTAGAGCTAATAATAATAATAAAAAAGTCATATTTGAAGAAAATGTAACCTGTAATACTTTTATTTTGAGAGAAGAGTGGTAGAAACTCTGACCTTGAACATGTCAGACTTGTTTGGTTTTGGAGATTGTGGCTTTGCTGGGCAGGGTGGGGTGGGACTGCTCCTCACACTGGGGCTGCTTAAGTTGCAGGCATTGCAGGTGTGAGCAAATTCCCTGCCTCTCTAACCCCTACAGCTCTGCTGCTGGACTGCATCAGATCATTCTACAATACTGAACTAAACTGGGTTAATGCATTAGTTCTTTACCCCTTATTTTACTTCAGATGCTCCCTGTATGTTTGTTAATTGTCATATAGACCATGGCACATTTCTTTCCTTCATTCCTCACATTTTCCTTAAAGCTCCCTCTGTTTCTGCACATGAAGTGCAAATAAAATACACATTAACTGATTCCTTTTGAGCACTTGGTGAGCTTGGAATTCTCAGCTTCAAACCTGGCAACAAAAAAATCTTCAGGCCCTGTGTCCTCCATCCTCCAGTGTGAGAGTAACAACCTGCAGATATTTTAAACCCTGCAAACTCTTGTGTCTTTCAGGACCTAGATTTCTCATCACATCCACGGGAGCCTTGTATATTTTAGACGTACAAAATGAAGATGGACTGTACAACTACCGATGTATCACAAGGCACAGATACACTGGAGAAACACGACAGAGCAACAGCGCAAGACTTTTTGTATCAGGTGCTCCTTTTCTGCATCTTGCTCAATGAAATGCTGCCTGTGTCTCTCTCTAGTGTGCTCAGCTGGCAAGGCACGTCCTTGGGTGGTTTCTGTCAAATGGAAGCGGGGAGCTGCTGTAAAATAAGTTGGGCCATTTTAAAATTCTTTATGTTTTAAGTATGTTTTTCACAATTCAGCGTTTATTTCCTGAAGGCCCATAGGGGTGCACCTGCACTTCAGCATGGTGATTTTTAGCAGGTTTAGAGTACTGTATACAGGGACTGTGGGTGGGATTCATCCCTTCAAAACTAGATTTATGCAGGGAAATTGAATCACCTTAACCTCACTGTTTAGCTAAAGAGGAACACTTTTAGGGGTAGTGTACCTCCCTGTTTTGGGGTGATCTGAACTGCCCCACAGTGCCTGTTCCCCTCTGTTGACCTCAGCAGGAGTTCAGGACATTGCACTCAGCTGGAGATATTTCCACCTCAGGATTCTCAGGTTACCTCAGGTGCATTTCAGCCTTCCTTTTCATTCATCCCATTCCTAACTATACTAAAGTAAGCAAATATTAAAGCAGCCATGAGCCTATAAGAAGTTTAAAGAAAGAAAGAGAAAAAAGTAATAAAAATCTTATGCTCCCCCCAGAAAAATATTTCAGAGATAAATAATGAAAACCTTTAACTTTAAACAACTCATCTTCAAAACAATACCCTACAAGTTAACATAACCCATAAGTACAACTATAAGAAAAGCTTATAAAAAATAAGAGAGATTTCACAATTACAAATTTCCCCAGGTGTCTGCTATTCATAAAAATTAAAAACTACCAAAACTATTTTCTTATAAAAAAGTCTCTATAACATTAATAAAAAAAACTTCTCCCCCTATGTAAACTAAAAAAAGACTATTCTAAAAGTAGTAAACTGACCAAAATATTAAATTTTATTTATTTACATTATCATTAAGAAAGAAAAAGTTATAAGATGAAAAGAAGTGTCCTAAAGGTTTAATTCTAATTCTTATTACTCTTGGTAATGATTAATAATTTAATTATTTATTAATAATAAAATAATATATTATTAGTAGTATAAATATTATTAATTTTTTTCTATATACCCTTTAAAAATTTTAAACCTGCTTCACCTTTCTCCTAATCCTACTTCACAAAAATAAATAAATACATTCTAATCAATACACTAGTAATTAACCAACACTAAACTCATTAATATATTAACAAAAAAAATCTTAAATTGATGAACAAAAACCACTACAGATGGGGACAACAGCCTGTTCCCCTGCTTCCAGGAGGGATCTCCAGGCAGCAGGAGAAGGTGCCAGTGCACCCAGGGGTGCTGCAGGCAGACAGGAGGATGGGGTGGCAGCTCTGGGCTGAATTCCAGGGCAATTTGTGCAGCAGGTGTGAAAATAAGAAGGTGGATGGGCTATTTTAACTTCTCCCTGTAGTTTTAAATGAACTCCTGATTGCTGAGTGTGTGATGGACAGTTGGGTTCCTCACAGCCACCACACACTCAGGGCTCTCAATACATTGCTGCTCCAACACAGATTTTTCCTCATTTTTATTCAGTGAGAGGCAGTGCCAGTTGTGGGTGAGGTGAAGGAGGAGCTGATCCCAAGCCTGGGTCTGGAACTTGCTCTCAAGCATTTCTGTGTAGGATTAGCACTTCTCCACCTCCCCTTCCTGCCCCTCGTTTGCTGCTTGTCCATAACTGCTCCCTCTGTCTGCTTGTGAGCAAATCCAGAGTGGTTTTCCTACGTCCACAGAGCTCACTGGGGCTGTATCCCAGATTTTCTCTTTCTCCCCAAATCCTTACCCTACATAAATCATCCCCACCATCCCACTGAAAGCCCCACATTTTTTCCTTTTCCCTGTTGCTAAGTTTCCTTAAAGGTCAGTCAGGATTTGGTGGCTTTCCCAATCTGACAGTCAATGGGGTCATTCCCCTTTTGACCCTTTTCCTCTCCTCTTCTGTCAGAATAAGACTCCAGTGGTCAGGTTTACATCTCCACCCCTCTGTTTGAGAGCCCTAAGGGAGACAGAGGTGAGCACAAGGCTTTCCATTATTAACCTGCCTCTTGCCCTCCTCCAAAATGGGCATTGTATTCAATACAATCAAGTATTTTGGAGCCCTCTGAACATACAGGCCAGTACTTAAATATAGTAATGATAACAAAAAAAATTTTTTCAAAATTACAAAATTAAATAATAATAATAATAATAAAAAAAAAAAAACAAACAGTGGGTTAGAATCACTTACCAGTCAGTTCCAGGAGTTTCCCCCTTTGATTCCTGTCCCCTGTGGGTAGAACTCTTGCCTCTGCTTTCCCCAACCAGATGAAGAAGTTCTCCTGGACAATAATCTGCCTGCTGTGGTCTTTTGAGAACAGGCAGGGTTCTACCCTCCCAGCTGGCTCCATAATATGGTCTGCTTCTTGTGAAATCACGCTAAGGCTGAGCCAGTGGGAACATAAATAAAATCAGGCTTGTATCTTGGTTACCACAGGAAAAGTTCTGGTTATCTCACTGAACAAAATGGGGGAAATGAAAGCTCTGTCTTGTTTGAAATTTAGGACAAACAAACACCCTAAAGGAAGTCCTCTGTCTGGAGCTGCCTTTTCTATTCTTCTCCACAGACCAAATTGAACTAGCAAATTTTACCTGTGTGCAATAACTGGCTTTTTTAATTCAACATGATTAATTATTCTTGATCAGGACTCTGATTTCCAGTCCTGTTAATCTACTGAGTAAGTGCAGCAATCAGGGGCAGAGTTTGTCCCTTAATATTTCTCTAACAGGTTTTCCTTTTCCTTTACTGGAATTTGTATTTTTAAAGACTGACTCCTCTAAGAACTGGGATCACAGAATCCATGAACATAGCTCTGAAAAGTCTACTTGCATGAGACCTACATTTTTGCCTGCCTTTTCCATCCATATTTGTTCTTCACTTGTTTGGAATGAAATAGTTTGTGGTGGATGCTTCTCATGTTTCCTGGCCACATTTAACACAAGTTAAGCTTCACGATTGTTTTGAAACAGTGAGAATGGTAATGTGCAGATAATAGCAAATAAAATAAAAAATTAGCAAAAATGGTGAATAACTAATCTGCCTATATTAATAAAAAAAAAAAGAAGTTCCAAATTTCATTTTGAGTAAGAATATCTCCTTGAAATCTCATGGCCTTTCTAAATAAAATTAACCCAAAGCCATTAACATGCAACAGAATATATTTCTAAGACTCCTTATAGTGACCTTTTCCAACAAAAATTTTGTCCTGCCATGAATTCTATCTCCCAAAATCATTACTGCTTTTTAACCTCCACACTCTGAAAAATCCTTATGATTTTTAAAACTTTTTAAAATTTTCCTCTTCTGTCCTTCAAAGAAGGTCCAAAGTAGAATATTTTAAAACAATATTTTTGCTTCAGTTTTTCACCATTGTCCTTGCTGGAAGTAATTTGCAGCCAACTGTCAAAGGTTTGTAAAATAATAATTCAAAAGAGGCTATACACATATTGGAACTGGGTTATGTTACTTTGGTATTTTTTGCCTCATTGCAGGTGATTGCAAATGAACCCTTGGGTTTCTTTTGTGCTTTGTTTGGTTTTTGGTTTTTTCGGGTTTTTTCCCCCTTAACTGGAATATATTATAACATCAGGGTGAAATTTTCTTCCTTACATAAGCAAATCTCAGTTTAGCTGTCCTGCAACTGGGACTTCAGGCTGTGCTGCTGTTGAAAAGGCTCAAATTGAGAAGGAACAAAGGGAAATGACCCTGGGATAGAGAATCCAGGATCTACTGTGCTGCTTGAGTAGGAATGCACAGCCAATACCTCTAAAAGACAGTTATGCTTTTTTATTATTTAAATATGTAATTATTACTTCCATCTGAAGAAATTGATTTCCTGTAGATGTAACCTTCTTAAGAGCCAGAAGCTGTAATTTCTTGCCTGCCAGGTTTTACTCTCAGTTAATTCCCCACAAAAGAATCTGTGCTTGGTAACAGGGATGCCTGATGACCCAAGGGGTGAGAGAAGAGCTGGCTGATCAATTAGTCAAATTGACATTGGCCTTCCCAGCAGCATCCTGGCAGATTGTGCTTTCATTGAGCCAGACATAAACAGCATGGCAAGCTCAAAAATTTCTCCCATCTTGGTGCCAAATGTGGACTTCGAGGCCACTGATTCATCCAAAACCACTCATTTAACCACCACAGACGTCCTCCAATGAGACACTCAACAAGCTGAATGTGGCTTTGCCCTCAGTGCCTCAGTGTTTTCCTGGCACCTAAAAATCAGAAAAACTTCTGCTGTCACCTTTCACTGGACTTGGCATATTGGGGGTTTTATCGAGATATAGTCACACACAAAACAAACAAACAAACAAACAAACAAACAAACAAAACAAAACAAAACAAAAAAAAACCCCAACAAACCAGATTTAGTCAATTTTTTAATATCATGGTTTTGGTTTCTGGATTGATAGTTTACCTTGAAAAGCCTTAAGATGTTTGCTTTCCTGGGTGCTCTCCCAGTTGTGGCTGCAATTCATAAAGATATATTTAAGCTCGTTTAAAACCAGCTAGCTCAGGTACTGATTACTTTTGGAATAGCTTGAATTCAGCATAAACTGCTCCTTTAATTTTCCAAATCTGCACAGGAACCTGCTGCAGCTGCCCTGTGAGCAGCATTTGAGTTTGCTAAGTTAGAATGACTCTTGAAAATGCCAGATTTGTGGCAATCACACCTACATCCAGTCAGCTGTGATTAGATATACCCAAAAAGAGGTCAGTGTGTCAGATTGGAGTTGGTCAGCATGTGGAGTTTCTTTGTGAAACAGAAATCTTAGCAAAGCATGTGCCTGTGATAAGAAAATATTTTGATAAATATTTGTTCAGTATTTTTTGTTGCAATAGCTCCAGGATGGGCGGCACAAAAATTTTAAATAGTGTCAACCTCTATCTCCAAAATTTTCAAACTGGAAATTACAAAGCAAGCACTATTTCTGATGGGTACATGCACCTCTGGTGAAGGCAATCCTGCCAGACATCTGTGAGATACATAAATCTGTGTCAGGTGCTGCACAAGTGAGGGCTGCAATTGTCAGCAAATTGAGCACAGAAAGATGCACTATTAAGCTGTAAGTTGGTCTTGTCACGTTAAGTTCTTTTCCCACAGAAGAAGAAAAGGCTTGTCTGTCATTTTGACTGCAGATAGAAATCCCTGTGCCTTTGCCCATTTGTCTCCTGACAAGGGAATAAATTGCTCCTTTAATTCAAAGCCTTCAGACCACCTAGAGAAGGGACAATGTGTTGGCTCCAATCTAGTTGAGAAGTGGCAATAATTGCTAAGGCAACACATTTCTGGCTCTCTGTGCTTCTCACAGGGAACATGAAGGATGACCAGCAAAACGTTTGCCACCTGGAAAAAATCCAGTGCAAGGATTTCCAAGCAGTGATGAGTTGCTTTAGCAGCATGTGGTGCTGGATCCCAGCCACCACAACTCAAACTGGTGGCTGGGTCAGAGAAGCAAACTGTAGTGCCCAAAACACTGGGCAGGCGAGTCAGAAAATGCAGGAGAAAAAAATATTGACACATTGCTTAGTGAGTTAATTTTGAGTCTCTGGCTGACAAAGAGTTCCTCTGTGTTTTCCCGTTTCAGACCCAGCGAATTCAGCTCCATCTATCCTAGATGGGTTTGACCACCGCAAAGCCATGGCAGGACAGCGAGTGGAGCTGCCTTGCAAAGCATCAGGGCACCCAGCACCAAAGTACCGCTGGCTGAAGGACAACGTGCCCTGGGAGCCCGACAGCCGCTTCCGGCAGACGGTGACGGGGCTGCTCATCGAGAACACGCGGCCCTCGGACTCGGGCAGCTACGTCTGCGAGGTGTGGAACAACTACGGCACCGCCGAGGTCATCGGCCGCCTCCACGTCAAACGTAGGTCGTGGCTTGGTGTTCCCAGTGACAGGGGAGAGCTCGGACCAGTCCCTGCCTGGGACAGGTCTCTGCTGGCAGTGGACGGCAGCTTTTATGGAGGTGACCAGTGTTATGAGTAAATGTGGCGGTTTAGATAAGTCTCTGCCTTTTGCCTGAGCTTCTGGAGCTTTATTGAGGTGGCCAGCACCACAAAACCCACTCTCATTCGCAAGTTCCTCAATAATGGTTGATATGGTCTATTATAGAACAAGTTATCCATTTAATAGACATAAAACTAAAACTAAACTATATACAAGACTTAAACCAACACAGGTGTTGCCCTGATTTTTAAAAGTGTTGTTTTCTTTTATAGTTCTTTTGAAAGTCTTAAAGTTCTCACAAAACTTCTTTAGCCTTCTGATCTGTTTGCATATTTCTACTGGAGTTCTCATACGCTGTTCACGTAAATAATAATTGTTTTGCATTCTTCTTTGTAGGAAGAGAAAATTTATGGACTGTTAATTTGACCAGTGTAGCTAAAAAGTAGTAATTCCATCCTCCAATCCATGGTCACCTCTGAAATTCTATAAATATCAGATGCTCAAAGTAAACACTCTCTTTTTTGGCCTTTGAACTTAACCAAGCATTTGTGTACTCGTTTTGTGTCCAATAGTGACACACAGGAATAAGGACAGAAGAGACTACTAGTAAATAAATACAGCAGGAGGCTAAAGATACCATTAATTTTACAGCTAGAAAATAATAATTTAACTTAGGAACCAATTTTCTTACCAACCAATTTGTGATGGAGCACACATCAAAATAATTTCCCTCAATTCCTAAGAATGTAACCATGAAATCTGCATCCAAACTCCTGAGAGAAGTCCTGTATGTTTATCAGGGTGTGTGTAGGAGGATTCTGCCTCTGTGATAATTTGTGTGTCTTTTATAGTCTTTGTAAAACAGTGTCTCTCAGTCAAGAATATTTATTTTTCTTTTATCTTTTCCCACATCTGCTCTCCAGACTAGGATATTGATTCCTAGCTGGGGCCTGAGCCCTTTGGAGACAGAAATGACCCCTTTGGGCCTTTCACCCACCTGGGTTATCTCTTCCATATGCACCAACAATCTATGGTAGAGAGAGGGAGGACATGTCCTGCCACAGCCAGCACCCCAAAACCCACTCTCACTCACAAGTCCTTCATATGACCACTCAGGTTTACTACAACATGAATTATTTAGAATAGACACAAGGAAAACAGACATAACACTTTAAACAGATTTACCACACAGGATAACACAAAAAGAACTATTAGTAGAGAAAAACAGTGCATTATAATAAAGGCACTTCTGTTATAGCTAGTGAAGAAATAGTTTAGATTATGATTAGGAGATTAGGAGATTAGATTAGATTAGATTAGATTAGATTAGATTAGATTAGATTAGATTAGATTAGATTAGAGATTTAGATTAGGAGTCAATGTCACCTACCAGTGAAATGTGCAGAAGTCTCCTAATTTCTCTCAGTCCCAGGGAAGTCTCTCAATAGCAACATCTCAGCATCGAGGAGAACTCTCCACACACTCAGAAAGAATATAAGAGA